AGAAACAGAGAAAGAAAGAGTGAAAGAGAGAGAGAGAGAGAGAGAGAGTACGAAATCGAGCATTTCAGAGCGTTCAGAATTACGTGAATCTTTGTGCGAAAAAAAGAAAGTGTAAGAATTAATTATGAACTATTTGCTTCTATTTTAACGTTACTTTATTTAGTAAAAAAAAACTTTAACATTTTACACAAACAAAACCGCACGCTATTTGTTAAACATTTTCATTTTTTTTTGATATTTTCGGAATGCGTATAAACTTGCCGAATGATGATTGATTTTTAATTCAAATGTAGTCAACATGTCAATCGAATACGTTCAGGTGGCTGAAGAGGAAGGTGAAGAGACAATTGAATTGCCAATCGAAAAAGATGGAACGTTGTTGCTATCAACGCTACAGGGTCAATTTCCAGGCACATCTTGTTTGAAGTACCGAAACTCTGTTAGCAATGCCATTCGGGGTATTCGCTTAACGGAAGGACGACTTTATCCTCCAAGTGAAGATGGTTGGGGGAATCAAGTCTATTTATGTGCATTTCCAAAAAATAAAAATAGAGAGCTGCCCTCACTACCACCAACTGCACCACCAGTAACTGCATCCTCCGAAACATGGTGTGGCCGAATCATAGGTTTGATAATTTGCCTCATGATAACGCTCCTATTTTATTATCTCTGCCCAAAATGTACAACTTATGTAGAAAAATTGAACTATGTTAACACACTCTCAACTTTTCTTACTTTTGTGTTAGTTTTTGTTAATTATTGTTAATTTCTATTCCAAAAATTAGCAGCAAAATTTACTGTATTTTTGATAACACAATTTTCTCGATTCGAAGGTTTTCCGTAATAACAAAATTCTGTTCAGCCTAAATTGTTCAACAAATCTGTTTCTTCAAATTTATAAACATTTTTTTAAACTTTGAAGCTACCTTTTATTATTTCAAATTCATTTCAGAATAACAGTGTAAAAAAATATAAATAAAATGTTTGTTTTTAACCAAAAAGGATAAGTTTAAATTGAAATAATTGAATTAAAGATAAAAAAAAAAACAAAAGATGTTGAAAATGAACACGAAATGGCCTATTAGACGGCTGAACAAGCTTTTCGTTTCCAAAACTAATATAGTGTAATGATTCATCGTTGAAAATAATTAGCGTCAAAAACAGTTAATAGAGTATAGAAATTTAAAAAAATGTTTAAAATCGAAGAAATGCTTGAAAAGTTGTGAAACTCGTTACGTTTCCAATTGGAATTGAAATTGTTTTTTCTTTGTAGTTTGATTTGTACTGTAGAAATGTATTAATTAATTGATTAAATGGATACACAAGTTAATCAAAATATGTTGGTTTTGTTTTAGGTTTTTTCATTCCGAACTCCCGGTTTCATCAGAAAAAAGATTAAATCCTTGTGCACTGTCAATGGCAATGGAAAATATTTTACTACTTATTTACATACCATTACATACAAACGAAGAAATACAATAATTTTATGAGAAAAAAATATATTGTGTTTTATTCGGAATAACGCCATAAACAACCTAGAAAAGTTTTTATTTTTTTGTTGTAAAAAGAATTCTCTCTCTTTCTTTCAGAAGAAAAAAAAACTCATGAAACAAAACGTAATAATAAATAGAAGCGAAGCATAAATGTGAGTTGTGAGTATCGTATCAGTTAATTTAAAGAATGGGAAACAAACCCCAGTGATCAAAATACATATCTCCATTGCCATGGATGAGCTAAAAATATCAAATACATACTAATTCACTATTAAATATGCACTTTATTGGATTGATGTGACCGCTTCAACGAGCAGATGAGCCACCAGAAACTCCTTTTATTCTTCATGCTCGCTCGCTCAATCATCCGCTCATGCTATTTCACAATGTGAGGTGACAATAGCAAAAGATTTGAACTTTAATCTCAGAACGAAAGATACATTTCACTAATTGTTATGATGCATATGTGTGCTGAGATAGGTACACCACAATGATCTCCCTTTCTCTCTCTCTATTGATTGTAATATTGAGTATATGCATATGAACCGAATCTAAGAGGTACGTTACGCTGCCCCCCTCCAAATTTAATGCTGGGTTGTGACCGGTACCATTATTTAGTGCTCAATTAGTGCTGGCGAGTGGTACCATCGGTTAATTTTATGCTGCGATAGGGAGCTAGCACTAATTGAAAAATGTGTAAAAACTCGATTTTTGGCCCTTTCACAGGGGAGCTACCCGAAAATGAAACTTTTTCGTACCGTGACCGGGCTATAAAATTAGTACTTACGTGCACTTTAAAGTTGCTGAAACATGTACGTTCTTGTTTCTTTACTGCGCACATCATTTTAACAGTGAAGCAGACTACTTTGTTATACGGGTAAAAATGGCACGTAAGTGTGAGCGAAATAGAATGGGTGTTTGTATAGATTTCACTATATAAACCATTGTATTCACAGCGGCGTGAACCCGCGTTCCGAGGATTTCATACATTAAATTTTTTTTCGATTTTCATATAGTATTTTTTTCTTCTCTATTGGTGTTATCGGCACATCGAAATTCGCGCTCCTTATCAGTTAATTTTCACTTCATAGACAAATCACGACCAAAACCACCATTAAAATGAATCATCATACCAATGGAGTCAAAAGTGTATCAAACATTTTTGTTTCAATTAAAGTGAAACACAATTTCAAAAGTCTGCCGATATTTCACGATTCACTTTCAAGCGAACAGAATTTATGTTGCACTCGCACAAAACTGTATCAAATCATGCATATTTTTTCAAAACAGTACATTGAGCGAGTCGCCGAACAAAGTGATACAACGTTCTGTTACTGAAACAAAATGAAACACTTTCCGCGCTTCGAAACAAAGCGCAACGTAAATAAAATAGTAGCCAACGATTTCATGTTTCATATTGATCCAATAACAGATTGGTGTTTCACTTTGTTCGGCGATTTTTTTGCGTTTCGTATGCATCGGCGAAGAGTCAATACGTTCTTTTTATGCTCACGGGTTCAACTAGGCAATGGCTCATAGTCATTGTGAATTTTTGATTGCATTTGCTTACAATCTATGTTCATTTGTTTGTCTAAATCGTTTTTTTTCCATTGAACGGTGAATTTGTTTCATTATTGTTGTTGTTTTTTCGCGTTATCTTCTTCTTCAACTCTTTCTTCATTTTCTGATTTTTTTTTCAATTTGTGTTGAACTTTTCTTTCTTTTGATTCACTTTTTTCTTTCCTTTTCAAAATGCTATAAATAAACACAATACACGTTTTTTTTTTTTTCAATTTTTGAGGCTTTATTGTGAAAAATTTGTACAATATAATTTATTCAAAGTACTGTCCATCGGAAGCTATGACTTTTCCCCATCTTTCTGGTAATTTATGGATTCCGTCCCAAAAAACTGTGTCGGCTTGGCGGCCAAAAAAGAATCAAGCCAATTTTTGACTTTTTTGAAAACAAGTGAACCGTCCTCCACTTAGGTGATATTGAATCGACTGAAACCAGTGGTAATAAGAAAGCGCAATGTCTGGAGATTACAGCCCCCATGAAAAATTTTCAAAATTAATAGTTTCTTAGAAATTTTGTACTTGATAGTCAAGAAGTCATTAAAAAAATTTCCTCAAAAATTCGCTTTTTTTGTGGCGATAAGTCATATTTTTCGATTTTGCTGTCAGAAATTGGTATATACCGATTAGTTTCTATTGAGAACGATGAAAGCTAACATTTTGATAAGTTTCTACCACCTTCCAATGCACCATATCTGCCCCACCCCCGCAAATATGGAAAATCACCCTTTTCCGAGGGAATGATTGTGGCGCCCCCTATAATGACAAGTAACCACGATCAAAATGTGGTTTGATATGCTTGTGTCTATCGAGAAACGTTCATTCTTCACTACCAGTGTCCACTCGATAAAAGAATAATCTATTTTTCACATTTTTCCCGTATGAAAAAAACTGCTCCCGCCAATGCTGTTTTTTTGGCACGAACTCGGACATTTTTGAGCACAATAAAATTCATGATGCAGATATAAATGTACAAATGTGATGATGCAGAATTGTTGACAGATGCCCAAGCTTACCGTACGACGTTTTAGAGCTGATATTTTTCACCAGCACTTACCGCTGGAGCCATCTGTTGGAAAACGGCGGAAGCAAAGTTATACACCCAATATAATAGGGATGAAACGAATTTGTGATAAAAGTGATGTGTATTGTGTGAAAATTCTATGCATTTGATTGATTGTAAGAAATATTTCCAACCCGAATTAGTATGTTTACGTATATGGAATAAGATTGAATGGTTTTGCTGTGTTTATTTTGATTTTCATTATTGAAATCCAGTTTACTTTTAGTATTTTCTATTTTTATTTCGTTTTTTTTATTTAACAAAAAAAATCCAATTGCAGGTCGAAAGTTTGATTTTGAGCACGGATGATCAACCAAACAGAGAAACAGAGAAAGAAAGAGTGAAAGAGAGA